CCTGATCTGTTGCCAGATGTTTGTCTTAGATGGTAATATACCTGATCTGTTGCCAGATGTTTCTGTTTTAGATGGTAATATACCTGTTCTGTTACAAGAGGTACCTGTTTTAGATGGTAATATACCTGATTGTTTGCCCAGTGGTTCCTGTCTTAGATGGTAATATACCTGATTGTTTGCCCAGTGGTTCCTGTCTTAGATGGTAATATACCTGATCGTTTGCCCAGTGGTTTCCTGTCTTAGATGGTAATATAAACCACTGGGCAAACAGATCAGGCCTGTCTTAGATGGTAATATACCTGTTCTGTTACAAGAGGTTCCTGTCTTAGATGGTAATATACCTGTTCTGTTACAAGAGGTTCCTGTCTTAGATGGTAATATACCTGTTCTGTTACAAGAGGTTCCTGTCTTAGATGGTAATATACCTGTTCTGTTACAAGAGGTTCCTGTCTTAGATGGTAATATACCTGTTCTGTTACAAGAGGTTCCTGTCTTAGATGGTAATATACCTGTTCTGTTACAAGAGGTTCCTGTCTTAGATGGTAATATACCTGTTCTGTTACAAGAGGTTTCTGTTTTAGATGGTAATATACTGGTTTTGTTACAAGAGGTTTCTGTTTTAGATGGTAATATACCTGTTCTGTTACCAGAGGTTCCTGTCTTAGATGGTAATATACCTGATCTGTTGCCAGATGTTTCTGTCTTAGATGGTAATATACCTGTTCTGTTACAAGAGGTTCCTGTCTTAGATGGTAATATACCTGTTCTGTTACAAGAGGTTCCTGTCTTAGATGGTAATATACCTGTTCTGTTACAAGAGGTTCCTGTCTTAGATGGTAATATACTGGTTTTGTTACTTCCTGTCTTAGATGGTAATATACCTGTTCTGTTGCCCAGTGGTTCCTGTCTTAGATGGTAATATACCTGTTCTGTTGCCAGAGGTTCCTGTCTTACATGGTAAAGATAATGCACTCGGAACAGTAGTTTAAATACTGCTAATTGATATGTCAAGTATTGATGAAACTTAAAACTTTTAATAATAATGATTATAAGATGCATACTTGTTTAAATGAAATGGGACCAAACTTGTATGCCTCTTATCTTTAAAAAAAGAATACATGCTGATTTTTTTTTCTTTATTTATTACTATGTTTTTTAAATATTTTTAGGGGCTGAGACGTCAACTGAAGAAAAAACGACCTATGAGTGGTACAAAAAATAGTGGTTATCTCAAACAAGGAAATGATGGTTATCCTTTAAGTTTTAGTCAGAGATGTTACTGTGAAGATGAGTAAGTTTTGATTTTTAGTTCACATTGATTTGACAAGTGTTTCAATATGGGAAATTCAAATTTAATTTAAAATATCAAATTAATACCTTTTGATGATCTAAAGTAAAACTTGAAGCAAAAATCCTAGTGAATATTTTGAAAATGGTTAACTCTACCAAATATAATAAGTATAGCTAATCATAATGTTATATCCTTCCTTTAAAAAAAAAATGTAAATATAAGAATGAAACCAGGTTTGTTGGTGTTGTTAGGTTCTGAACTGATGTTTTATTTTTACAAATATAGCTCAAATATTACTGTGGAAGCTTCTCCTGGCCATTTACTTTTAATGTGTCTTAAAGGGCTAAAAACAGTTTTCAAATGTTATATAAATTTTATCAAGAATAAGAAATTAAACTGTTTAAAATTATTCCCAATAAACAGCAATTACTAGCCTGAGTCTGAATTAGTTGTTATAGCAGTCAGTAAAAGTTTAAACTTTTTCTTACAACTTGCTCTCAACACTTCTATCATAACATTATATAGAACTTACCCTACCTTTAGGAATTTGAAGAAAAAACTGGTAGTTTCTTCACTAAATTGTGAAATTGAATTCAGTCTATAATTTTATGATTTGTACATTTGCATTCAATCATGAGAAGTATAATTATAATGTTGAAAAAGTATTTCTCATACAATGTTCTAATGCCATTTATTTCATAAATAGTGGCTGTAGTGTTAAGTGGCATTGTAATGTTATCCATTCTAAAAAATGTTAAACTTCAGTAAAACAGTTAAAACTTCAGTACAAATAACTTTGTGATCAAAATTCACAAATATGTTTTATAAATAATAATGAAAAGTGTAAAGATAAATAGAAAACCCTCATACTTTAAATAATGTTATTACCTGTGTCCAAACATACCACATTCAATAGATATAGCATTGTCATTATTTGATTATCAGTTCTGTTTATTGGGCCAACTATTCATACTGAAATTAATATTTTTTCTAGTATATACTAAGTATTATTGGATGTTTTTCTGGGATAACTATTTTTATTCATTTCTCACAGCTGAAAGAACTGTTAATTTCACCATTCCATAACAAGTATAGAACATATTTATTCATATAATTTTGTTTTTGATGTTAATGGAGGAATTCTGAATGTAGTTATAACATCTTTGTAAACTGTATTTGGGAAGGTCATAAACTTGTACTAATTCTTTACCTTAGGTCAAGGTTACATATTGTAATGTTTATTCCAAAAACTTGTACTTTCTTGGCACAGTTTCTGTTTTGGCTCTTTGAAATTGTCATTCCAAGGGATGGTACAGGGACATGTATAAGTTAGTGTGAGTTGAGGTGTTTTCCTCCTTGAATATGTTTATTTGGGATTGTCATTGACAGAAGTAACCTAAGGATTGAGATATTGTACTAAGACTCTGGCCTGACTTGAAAGTATAGCATTTTTCTTGCTTTTGTTCTTATCTTGTATGAATGTGTTTTGAAATTCTCTACCCCATCAGCCAGTAGAAGTCACTCTGTGAATCACGTAAGACACATTATGAATAAATATTTTGTTTTATTCATTAACTTTGGTTACTTGTTTTTATTCGCTGTCCAATTACATTTTATTTTCTGCTAGACATTTCTTACTAAGTAATTTATTTAAAAACTTTTTGATTTATACAACATTTGTTTGAATTTTTCTTAGTTTCATTATAGCACTGATTTTATCACTCACTTCTGTATCTAGTGTTTTATGCCATCACTACCTCTCAGGTAGATATTTCATTTAAACAACTGTGCATTGTTAAAGCTTAGTTTTTTTTTTTACTTCTTATTAACAGCTTCTCAACAGTTTGATAAGTTTACTATTTCAATAAAAATATTTTCAGGATTTTCTAGTTTTAAATGTTAGAAAAAGCATACTGTATCAAATTTACAACTGAAATATATGTACTTACAGCTGTCTACATGAATATAGGTACAAAATAGTTTGAAACTGTTACGTTTGTATATTTGCTCAACTCAACACAACTACTGTGGAAAAGAATTTGGCTAATAGCACACTGTTATGGTTATTTTTTACAGCCAAATAATTTTTATTGAGTCATGATTAACCGACTAGCTTTTGCAGGTAGAGATAAATACCATATATTGAAACCATACTCAATATATTTGTATTATGGGGGACTTGTATTTACTTACAAGTTAAAAATTTTAAGTATGCAACGTACAATCTTCACTGACTAAAGTATGGCAAAGCTTTGATTATTCCTCTATTTAGACAGAGCTAAGGCTTTACTTACCAGTACATGACTTGAATTGTAATTTTTACCCACAAAAATAAACAATATTATAAGCTTTATTCTAACTAATAAAACTGTTTCATACTTCATTCACTTTGCTATAGAACTTTCCCAAATTCGACATAAAAACAATTTGATCATTGGGTTGTTTAGGTCAACATTTCTCAACTTTTTTGATACCAGGGACTGGCTTGCTTGCTTCCTTAAACTGTTGCAGATGAATCAAATGCAAATATAATAAAATATAAAAAAATAAACATTATGATTTACACCGGTAGTTGAGAAACACTGTTTTAGATGATAAAAAGTATCTTTCATACTTCATTCTGATGGAAATAATAACACTATGAATTATAAATGTTTATACATTTATGAGAGTGTTTCACTTCTTTTATGTTTTGTGCTTTATATTTGGAACTCGTACAGTGAGCATGAAATTAAGATGAAAGTACTGCTTGTGGCTGTTTTTATTAGTATTTGTTTAGAAATAAGTTGCCTGTTACTGTTCTGTCTAATAAAAATTTTTTACTCTTAACTAAAAAATATATTTAATTTTTTCAAGTGCACATCAAAAACCAAAGGCATGGAAACAAGAACAACGTGAGCTAAGAAAACTTGCTCGTCAACGTATAAAGGAGGCTCGTTCAAAACAAAAAGAAAAAGAGAATCGACGTAAGGCCAAATACAAGAAATTTGACTGTAATACTGACAAGATGAACTGCTTCACACACAATAATGATCATTGGAAAACTCCACCATATTGGACATGTAAGAACCAAAAACATTAAATACTCTTTTATACCTAAAATTTCAAAACAAAACAAGAAAATTAGGGATAATTAAGGGAAAGAAAATATAAAAAATTGGGATTTTAAATATAATATCCATTTTCCTTTAAAAACCTAAGGATGTTGTATAATTCAGTATATTTTCAATAGCATCATTGAAGATTTCCACATGTATTAAAAAATAATCAAGATAAAAACAAGGCTTTAGCTGAAGAATTTAATAAGATCAGTGTGAAAACAAAGGTTATTAATTAAATTATTTATTTTTTACTGATAAAAGAGCACTGATGTACCTTCTAACATAGTATTTACTGTGGATTTGTTAATGGCCCAATTATCAAAGTTAAACTATTAAATTTGAAGTTGGAAAATTCTTGTAAATTTGGGTGTTGAAAATGTATTAAGATAAACAGTGACATGGGATTTTAAATTTATCATGATCTGGTGGTTATGGCACTTGACTCTTAATCTGAAGGTCTTATATTCAATTACCATTTTCAAATCTGCCCACTCTTGTAGCTGTGAAGGCATTATAATGTGATGGTCAATCCCACTATTTGTTGGTAAAGAGTAGTCCAAGAGTTGGCAGTGGGTGGTATTGACTTGCTGCCCTCCCTCTAGTCCAGTGATTCTCAACTGTTTTTAACCCAGGACCCATTCGTAAACATTAGTGGTCAGTCATGACCCAGTAAATCCATTTAGTGCTAAAACATCTGACTTATTAAACAAATAACCAAACTATTACGTATTTTAAAAGTCTGTTCATGACCCTTTCACACATTCTGACAACCCAATTTTAGGCCACAACCCACGAGTTGAGAAACGCTGCTCTAGTTGACCACTTCAAAATCAGAGATGGCTAGCTCAGATAGTCCTTGAATAGCTTTGCATGAACATTCAAAAACAAATTTATTATCATGCTTGAAAGGTTTTCTTTTTATTTATCACAAATGCTTTTTGAAACTGGAAAGAATACTCAATAGATATGCCAGTATAATTATTAAGTAATTTTTACATAGTGTCATTGATCAAAACTATTTTTGTGGAGAAATGGTACCATTCACTTGCTATCAATGAGTAATTTAACTTTTCTTCAGAGAACTAAAGAACTATATAATGAAATTTATTCACTAATAATTTTTTTTATGTATTCTTACCAGTTGAAAACATTATAGATTTTAAAAGGAAAATGTGATTTCATATTGTTTTTAATTAGCATGGCACTGTTAACTTTTTTGTGAATTGAAATTTGTGATTGGAAGTTATATAAAATAATGTTGTGGCCTTAACTTCAAATTTAATATTTTAATAAAATAAAGATTTAATGTTTTAAACTATTCAAAATGCAAAAAAAGAAACCTATTTCACAAGCTACTTTTTTTCTTTAAATTGCTATTATCATCCTTTTTATGCACCTAGCAACATACAAATTCATGAACAAATCAATCCTTACATGAGTATTTTTCATTTTTTACATATGTTCTCTTTTCTATAGAATAATGACACTAACATAACTTCTGAAGACTTTTAAAAATGGCTTTTTTGTCCAACAGATGGTCCTTTCTGTTTCTGTCAGAACTCAAACAACAATACATACTGGTGTTTGAGGACCATTAATGCTTCTCACAACTTCCTTTACTGTGAGTTCATCACAGGATTTATCATGTATTTTGATTTGAAAATGGATCCTTATCAGGTGATGAACTTTATTTTTCTTCAACTGTAAAATGCTTCCTGTATATGAATTGTAGTTAGTGTATTGGTTTTGCACTCTTAGCTCAGTATCAGTTTTTACCTTACTATTCTGTTCTCAATATTTGTTGTACAGGATTATCATTTTCTTTAAAAAAAAAAAGTTTTGAATGAGTATCCATGTGTGGCTATCTTGCCATCATTGTATTTAGTATGCTGCAAGTCATACCAAAACTTGTAAAAAAATTGGTTCAGTCATTCCATTGAAAAAGATACATTTGTCATGTGTGTGTGTGTATATATATAAGCTGTCTAATTCATTATTAGCTCTTAATCTTTTTTAAGGATGTTTCATTCAGTGCTAGAATATTTTTTAATAACTAAGCTAGAGTAGACAAAGAAAGCAAGATCACAGAAAGAAGTGTGGAAGGAAACAATACCTTAATATATTTCTCAACTGAGATCCCTGAAAAATAAAGATTTACACATTTAACAATAAAACATAGTTTTGTAATTGCAGTTGAAATTATATTTCCGTTCTTTGGACAGAAATTTAAGAACTTTAATATTTCAGCCAAACCTTCTTGACATGACAAGTGCAATATATGTCCCAAACATTAGTATTGCACTCTTCTAGATGAAAATACTTAAAGGTTAGCTCTGACTCCTGTTCTTCAGAATACTAACTGTACACTGTGATACTTTATCACATTATATTTTATCCATTACTTGTAAATATTTGAATATTAATTTATAAAGATAGTTATTATTATTATTATTATTATAGAGATTTTAATATAAGATATTTTAAGAGTATCTTGTTGCATTAATGACTAGTTGTGTAAACATAGGACACATTTTAGAGTACTTAACAGTCTCATTGGCCAGAAATGGGCAAATAATTGTCACCTATTTTAAGAAATTGTGAGTAAAAATGAAGTATGCATAGCTATTGACAAACACAGTATATCAGCTATATCCATTGGCAATGAGGCCCTTTTCCCAATACCAAGGTTCATAAGGCTAGATGAAGTACAACAAATACAGTAGTGGTTGAAATGTTAGTTACAATATTAAACTGCATGAACAACAACTTATGGTGTGATCTAGATTATGTTTGTGAAGTGTAATTTTTATCATGCACTTTATTTATTTTTTAATCTAAAGTTCAGTTTAGAGCCATGAATCTCAACCTGTTGTCCATATATCTTAAGGGATCTGTTTAGTATTTGCAGTGCCTGTGACAGTAAAAATTTAGTTTCCATATTATAGCTTAAAAGAAATGATACTGTGTCTGCTTAAATGACAATAAGGTTCTATTTTAAAATTTCATTCACTTACATATTTGCGTAAGTGCTATTTTTATTCAATGTAGGATCAGCTTTCACAGTTGGATGTATTTGAAGGGAGTCCTTGAAATTTTCTTTAATTCATGTAGACCAAAAAAAAGAAGAAAAAAAAGATCCACTGGATTAGAGAAAATATTCAATGGTTTTTTTTACAAATGGGAGGTTTTTCTCAAACTATAACATATGTTCCATCATTTAAAGTTCTGTTCAAATATAAAGAAAAGCTGATGCTAATAGCATAATTAATTACCTGTAGATCCATTTAAAAGATGGTGTCATTTAAACTATTTGATTTTAATACAACTTTCATTTTTCTAATTTTCCATGTAGTTAACAAATGCTGTTTACAACTTAGAATATTTTGAACTACAAGATATGAGACGGCAATTAAATAGACTCAGGAGGTGTACAGGAACTCAGGAATGTTTCATAACTTCAACATTACCAGGTATTGGTTACCTTTAAAACTAAATTTGATATGTATTCCTGTGTGGGATGTTACATAGATTTTTTTATCACTTTTTGTTTTTATTATTATTGATGGAAATACCATTTTTAGTTAAACATACATTAACCTTGGAGAAATTGTGGTATTTTACATAATATTCTATTTGCAAGTATGCCTGGCTTTCTATTGCCAAGAGAATAAAAAAAAAAAATATCTGTGCTGTACATACTACTATATCATTGACAAGTGTGTGTGTGTGTGTAAGTGTTTTGTAGCTATATTGACACAGTTTTTGATTTTGAAACTTGTATTGCAGCATTTAGAATATGATATGAATAAAATATTCATGTTTAGCATCATAAAATGGCAATAAGAAAGTGCTTTTAATTTTTATCCAAATTTCAGTTACATTTGTAGTGGAACTGAGAACTTATTTTTATGGGTCTACACCCAAACAATTACACTACTGAAATCATTACTCAGCCCATCTCCTTGAAAATTAGTTTTCTGCCACTGTTAGATTCTATTTTGGGTGTAATTATGCAACATACAAACCTATACAGATTTTATACATGTATTACATTACTTTCTGGTAAAACCTGCATCAAAATTTCCATTTTGGACTTATTTAAAACTTTATTCACAAACACCCAGGTCAAGTATATTAACTAAAAATAAAAATGTTTAAGTGATAAAGATTTTAGTTGTGAAGTTGAATGACTAGATAAAGTTGGATAGTTTTTATCTAGTGATGCATGAAGATCTTGACAGTGTTTTATTTCATAAATTTTAAGTTTTTTTTTGTTTGTTTTTTGTCTGTCTTATATAAAAAGTAAAATTTACATCTGTTATTACACTTACAGTAGAAGAGAAAATGATCAATGGTTCACATTAAGATGTGGTGATGATTCTGACTGATGAATAATGAGAGATTCCTTAACACCTATTTTCATGATTCTGTATCAATTAACAGTTTGTTCTTTACTTACACATCTAAAACCTAATGTGGTAAATCATTATGGGTACCATCCCTATAGCAAATATAGCTATTAATCTAATTTCAAAGGACTCCAAAACTATTAATTGTGCAAAAGATAAGCAAACAATCTTTCAGTAGTTAAACAAGTCCTTAATGACACTTGGCTTTTGCATATTTAACAATGCTTTTGGAGTAGTTTAGATCTAAAAAATACTTTCTTACTAGTCAAACAACTTATTGTTTTTTATTCATGTAGGTCAGGGACGAAGAAAAGGTAGCATTCCTATCCTTTCTTCATGGTAAGGAATTCTGGGAAAATTTTGTATTATTTGGAATTGTCACTTCTAGAATAAGAAGTGCCATTCATACATAAAGAAGACCACACCTTAAAATCTATGATGAGTAGAAAAACGAAAAATATTTTTAACATTTTATTTATTGGTGTAATATTATGGTCACTTAATTTTCAAATGTTTTAGTTTTTCATATGCTGCAAACTATGCAAGGAACTTTACTGATTACTTTAACATGGCAATGATCATTGGTAAGTTTTGGTAATAAGTTATTTCTTTGGTTACCTTGTGAGGTCTAGTCATCAAGATTAAGTACAATTTTGTAACAAAAAAGGAAAAAATAAGTGGATAAGAAAGAGAAGAGTGAGAAAAAAAAGTGCCAAAACCTACAAACACTCAAAATCTAAGAGAAATACAAATAGCAAAAAGTTGCAGTTACAGCATGACAAAATATGAAACTACAAAATGATTAAAACTGCTAAAAAAGAAAAAAAGGGATAAATTTGCAGTTAATATTTTTGGTCAAACAATTTTCATTGGAAGTTGTAGTAAAATAGGAAGGTGAATTAATGTATAGTGATAAAATAAAGTTAATTCCACTACATATGTATGAAGCTTTCTGATAATCTAAGATTAGTGTATCACTTTGATCATAAAAAGCATTAAGTTTGAATAATGTACATTCAAGATGTTGCTGAGAACTATTTTGTCAACTAGTAGCTGAGACAGTCCGTGAGAGATTGTCAAGAAAAATCAATAAATCTAAAGCCAATTGTATGACAACTGCTTATTTGTGGTCAGAAACTTACACATACAAGCTTCATTTTTGTTGAAAAAAAATTATGATGCCAAAGAAAAAATTAACTGCTAAACATGTGTAGACTAACATGAGAAATAAAACTAATGTACCTTGTTAAAATAAAATGGATACTTCTATGAAATGTTTGAGGTCAACCTTTACTCCATGTAGAATAAGCAGTTTCTACACATGCAATACAGATCTTTAACTGAGAGAAGCAACTTGAATATAAGAACATGGAGCTGATTAACTGCTATGCATATATAATAATTAAAAAAAATTTTTTTTTTTTAATTCAGATTTTTTTTCACACCATAACAAGACTTAAGTTGTAAAATTTATTTTATTATTTTGATAATCATTATGAATATAAAGGGCTAATAGACTTAAGAATAATTTAAATATGTTATTGAAGTAGCATTTCCCTAAAGGTGCAAGCTGTAGCACCACAGATTATAATTTTACCCTTATATTTGGCTTATAGAAAATTCCTGACTATTTCAAAGTGTAAGGCCAGCAGGAAAAACTTATGGTTGCAAGGAAAGTTAATAGTCCTTTTCAAAGATATTTGTACCAGAAGATTGTTAAATGATATAAAGCACAAGTCAGCCTTTAGTGTTCTTCAATGAAGCAGGCCACTAGAATAGCAAGAAGCTTCAAAACCACACCCCAAGCCAGTCAGGAGTAATGTCCTTATACAAATTGAAGTCCCCTAAACTCTCTCTGTACGAACTTGGTCAATTTGACCGAGTCAAAATAGATAATTCTCTGTACTGTAAGTGATGTAATATAATATGGGTGTGACAAATGAGTTTGATTCTCTAGTTTATGACTTCATAATCAAGTAATATTTAGGGCCTGGCATGGCCAGGTGGTTAGGGCATTCGACTCACAATCTGAGGGTCGCGAGATTGAATCCCTGTCACACCAAACATGCTCGCCATTTCAGCCGAGGGGGCATTATAATGTGACGGTGAATCCCACTATTCGTTGGTAAAAGAGTAGCCCAAGAGTTGGCAGTGGGTGGTGATGACTAGCTGCCTTCCCTCTAGTCTTACACTGCTAAATTAGGGACGGCTAGTGCAGATAGCCCTCGTGTAGCTTTGTGCGACATTCAAAACAAACAAACAAGTAATATTGAGGGCTAATATCTACATTATATTGAGTAATTTATTAAATTCTGTACTTCTCAGAGGGTTGGTAAATAAATTAGAAAAGAGGGAAGACCCAGAGAACAAATGTCATAATTCTTATACTAGCAAAGATTGAGGTTTTTTTTTAATATTTCATTAAAATTAAAAACTTAACTTGTATAGTATTAGGATTTGATTCTCTAACTATTTTGTGATGTCAAGTTTACTCATTTACAATGATAATAGTTTAATTTTGAATGCAACTCTCTAAAAAGTCATGGCATATGCACTTTGACCTACCCATAGCAAGAAGGTTAATGTGGATTCCTTTATTTGGTGAAGGGACCTCATAGGGAAAATTCTGCCTGTACATTTTACTTTCTCTGGAAGCTAAACATTTACTCCCCTTGATGTGGATTCCTGTATGGGGTGAGGGGGGGGGACCTCCCAGGGAAGGTTCTGTATTTTCAGTTACTTCCTCTGGGATCTAAACATCCACCCACATGTTTGCTGTGCGTGGGGAGGAGAGAATCCTGGTGGTTGAGTGGTGTCTGGGGCACTGC